ATCTACGTCGTCTGTTTGAAGTAGATATCTACCATGGAATTTACTTGGTGAATGGATTTCTATGGTATAGATTCCGTATTGTTGTGTTAGATTACATATTCTTTTTAGATAGTGATCGATAATTTGTCTTTTGATTTTTACTTCTGGAAATTCTGCTGTGCATGGACTAATTCCTTTTTCGAATAAATTTGCGATTAAATTTTGACAAAATTGTGTTTGTCCTCCATCATCAGTGAGTGAATTATTAAAAATGGGAGTATAGAGTTTTTATCTTCGCTTTCTTCATTTTGACTCATTTTGTGTTTTATGACTGTCAATTTGTAGTTTTCAATGTGTTTTATTGGTTGATTCCAATTATATAGACGTACTGGTTTGTTTTTGTATGTCTTTTTTATTCTTCGTTTTCCTTGTATTGATGATTGTGATGTGGTTTCTGAGTCAGAAAAATATAGTGTATCATTAACTTGGTAATTTTTATTTACGGATTTTTTTTTAAATGTAAAGTTCTTCCAAATTACTTGTTTTTGATTCGGAGATTGCGTTTCGTCGTTTTGAAAATCTTTTTCGTGTGATCGGTCTTTGTTTGCTTAAAATTTATTTTGTGATTGTTTGTCGTTTTGTTCTGATATATTCTATTGTATGTGTGTGTGGAGTGATTACGAGGTCATATTTTTTGTTGTTTATTTCACAATTGTGTAGTATGATTGTTTGTTTATTTCCTGAATTGTCTAGTGACATAAAGTTTAAGCTGACGGATGCAATATTGGGGTTAGTGATTTTTAATGTCTTAAATTGTTAGTTCTTACGATTTTTTTGGGTTAGCCTAACTTGGGTCATGTATTCCATGGTTGGAGAGAAAAGTATATATCGATTCCTGAGAATGATTGTTACTTTCTCGTGGCTAGTCTAAGTTAAGATGTTAACTTACTTAATCTTACTTAGGGGTAGTGATTGTGTTCAAGGGCTGGAGAATAGCAAATCAATCCACAAGGTTCAGGTATAATTAGAACACAAGTAGTTCGTTAGGTACTCTTTTAAACTTACTGAGTTGAAGTATTAACCTGGGTCAGGTAAGAGGGGGGGGGGGGTCAAGTGAAGGATGAATAACCGAAGTTCTTCACTGTTTATCCTAATAATAATGGTTAGTGAGATTGAAAAATTTCTATTAGTCCTGTGTCTTGAGAAAGGGTTGGATGTGAATCGACGTTTGAGGTCGTTAGACACTTTAATAATCGTGTGGGGGGGGGAACAAAATTGTTCTATTTGATCCAAGGATAAGCCATGATGATCAGGATAGAAAATTAATGAAATTTAGATTTAATTTAGGTAAAAATGAGATCCAAGGAAAGCCTTGATGATCTGTTAAGTTTAAAAAGTTTTAATTTAGAAAAAAAATAAGAAATAGGATCGGATAGGCCTTTATTATTTAGGTTTAAGCTTTAATTTATAATTTTTAGTTTATTAGTTTTTGATGATGTTAGTGGGTTTATGATTAGATGTTATGTTTTAGGTGATGAAGCTGAGATGATCAGATTATTTATATATTACTAATAATTTTGTGTGTTTACTAACTAATTTTTTAAATTTTATTCGCAAAAAATTTTTTTTTCCAGATATCTTTTTAAATTTACTGCAGATTTGAAGGGAACGACTAGGGGTGTTTTTATCAGTCGTTATTGTACAATAATAAGTTAAGCGCCTGTAATTGTCGTTGAAGATTTTTCTTCAAAGATTTTATGTTTGCAAATGAAAATCTAAATTCTTTGCTAATAAAATTTTAAATATAAAAGTTTTTGTTGGCTTTTGCCGTACGACCATGAAACTTATGGGTAAGTTCCCTTGTAGTCGTATATCGTCTCTTGTCCGAGGTCTTTTTCCAATATCGGGTAGTTCTCGTATTGTTCGGAATAATGGCTCTGATCTATTGAGTCGTAGAGACATTTCAATTAAATTATTATCGTAAGCATTTTTGAGAATATTTTTTGTCTAAGTCTAATCTATTTGGTTAGTTCTAAGCTAAATTGTTTTTTAAGGTCTTGTTCGAGACTTTTGATCGCACCAGATGAGTTATGTTCTAAGGTCAACTCATAGAGTAATTTCAGATAAGGTACACCGTCTGCTCGTTACGCTATCTTATTTTCGACCGGATAGATTCGTGCAACTTCTTAGTCTAATACCGATCTTAATCTTACTCTTATATCTCTTAGTCTCAATAGATCTGGAGTATACTGGTTTAGTTACGAGTCGGTCTCTTGGAGAAAGCAAATAAGTTGTAAGTTAAATTCAATATGCTCTGGTGCTGAAACTACAAGTAATTTCAGCACTTACAAAAAAGTAGGTTGTTAGTTTGATGGAGTGTGATTGGTTAGTCTTTAATATTTTATAGGGATAAAATATCTAATTCATAACCAATAATAATATATAGTTTGAATCTGGTTCCAATCAGGTGACAACCTTAATATACAGAGTAACTCAAGAGAAAAAACGAGCTGTGAAATCATATTTCATGCGACGTTTTATAACGCCCCATTACCGAGCCACATGCAAACCCAATCCGAAAAAAGCTCGGGTTTTCTTTTTATACGCAATGATCAAGAGGCCTTGAAACACATCAATAGGCTTGACTTCCTTTCTTTTCAAAATATTAGTTTTGGTATTTGTGAATCTAAGTTGAAATTTTAAAAATCAATTGTGGGTGGGTGCATGCAAGCTTGAACTTGCAAAATTTGACTTTCACAGAAATTTGTGGACTCAATTTTTGGTTAATTTTTTAATCTGACGCCGAGATACCGCTTTGTTGGGAGAAACAAAGAGGAATTTTTCAAACTTTCAAAGTCACTTCAAGAGTATTCAACGATTATGATTTTCCTAATTACCCTGAAAGCAACTTGACTTAGCTTAAATTCTAAAAAAAGTCTTACCAGATCTGCATTTTTTACGAGGAGTGCTCCGATTGTAGTTGTCCGGAATTGCCAAAAATGTTTCAAAAACTTGACGAATAAAATCTGTAACTGTTGAACAGTGTTTTTCTTGAATCTTCTGTTTCATGCAAGGCCATAAAATTTCAATAGTATTCAAATCTTGAGATTTTGGGGGGACAATTTTTCAAAATTTGAAAACAATTGTCTTAGAAAAAATTTGTCAAAACTTAAAATTTTGGCATCTGACATTGACTTGCAGAAAAATTTACAAGATAAAAAATTTTCATCAAAAGGAATCGTCTCACGTAAATCTTATCGCTGAAAAAAAAACGCATTTTCCGAAAAACTTTGTGATTTTTCTCGAAATTTTTAACAACAATTTGTGCGTTTTTTCTGTTTATGTTCAACTTTTTGAAACTTTGGCTCGTGCTCTCAGTTTTGTTTTCTCATGACCAAAACTGATCAAACTTTGCTAGCTGATAAGTGTAAAGCTCTTAAGACACCGCAAAACGATTTTTTTTGCAATCAAATAATTTTAGTCTCTATCGGTTATTTTTTACCGACCGACTTTTTTGGCTCTCTCATAATGTCCGCTTTCCAACTTACAGCTTTTCTCTAACAAAATCTCAAGTTGCAGAATTGGGAACTTTAGTTTTTTATATTCTATGGAATTTTTGGAATTTTTACAAAGTGAAAATGACTCCATTAAACATGTAACAGCGTTTTCGGGACATCCTCCCCCCAATACGTTTAGGGGGGAGGATGTCAACTTCATTCTGAGCTCGAAATTTCAGCCAATAGGAACAGACAATTTAACATCTCTTAGCAATTTAGCAGCGTTTAGCAAACATAAATCGCTATAGGGGTGAGAAACATGCAAACGCAATCTCGCATAAGCAATGTAAAAACCAGTTTTACTTGAGCGTTTCTATGAAATGCATATTTTATACAGAATTATGTTTCAGAAATAATACATGGCTGGGGGTGGCAATCTATGGTAGGTCACGGGGGGTTGGGATAGTACCGTTGATCCGGAGGATGTTAACTTGAATCTGTTTTTGTTTTGTTTTTAAAATTTTATTTTATTGTTGAATGTTGCAGCAAACAATAAAGTACCATTAAGTTAAATTTACCGTTTAATTTTTTCGCATCTTTAGTCCGGATAATCTAACTGGGTGCTATTCTCATGCGAAAAGGACCGAAGGGACGAAAAACTCGTGGGCGAAGTAACGAAAACAAAAAAAAAACGATAGTCAGTTTTTAGAAAGAAAAAATTTCCATTCATTTGAAATAAATTAAAAATTTTCACGCTTTCTTTCCAAATCCGCGCATATGCGAAGGACCGAATGCGCGAAAATAAAAATCAGCCAATCAGATTTCAGTAATCTAAAACTTTGGAAAGAAAGTAAACATTTCCAGGGACTGGAGTATTGATATTGGCCGATTATAAAAACAGCAGAAAAGTGCAAAATTTTCAAATTGTCCTTGACCGCCGCAAAATTGGGACAAATTATATATTTCAAGGGTTTCGTGATGAAAGAAGCAAAATATTGCTTCATCTAATTCATTTTAATTGAAGGACAATTGCTTCTTTTTAAAAATTGGCTTTCGGCTAACTTTGTCTTCCTTCCTTGGCCCAAAAGCTTTTTCGGTCCATTCGGTTCTTCGCGCATGAGATTAGCCCCCAAATTTTAGGACTTATTCGGCTAATTTTTTTTATTTCGGGAGCTATGAATATTGGGAACTATGGGAACCAGGTGCAAAACCGTCGTCGTTAGCCGTGATGGGCTAAGCAGCTCGTATATCAGTCATTTCTCTGTTGGAGAAATTGTCTTAATTAATTTTTTATTAAAATACGGTTGATCTGTATCAGTTCATCAGAGCAGTGTACAAGTCCATCCATTTAGATCATTTTTCCTTTTTGATTCCTCTGAAATAAAACTTGTTGTCATAGTCAATAATTGATGCCAAAGCATGCTTCCATATATTGGAGCTCCGGCTGATCAAATAAAAAAGTCAAAGTTGAGCAGCAGCTGTGATTTTGTCAAAAATTTTGGGATTGCTTGCTTTTTTTGTGACAGAAACTGGTCAATAATGGCCGCAATGATCTCTCAAATTATTGTTCTTCTTTTTAAATTGATCACAAGTATCGCATCTGATTCTAAAACTTGTGGTAATTATCAAGATATATCATTGTGTGACTTTGTACTTCCAAAAAATCTCATTTTCCAAACAGCAACAATTTTGCGAAATGGCGTCAGCCAATCAGATTGCTTAGATAAAATGGCGCGCTTTGATTGGTCAATTGGATTTTTCTGCGAATCAAGTTATTTATGCGGTCTGGGGTTAGTCATAGGAGCTGACTTTTCGCCAATGAGGGATGAAAATGTTGTTCCTGTGAGCGAGGTTTGCCAAATATTTTTTGACAAGGAGCAGACTAATTGTGAGAGCTTCAAAGCGAAAGTACTTCGAGGTAATTAAGCTTTTCATCTAAAAAACCTCACAATCAATATTTTGGGTCAGCTATAATCAAGAGAACGTTAATGACATCTTTTTAAAAGCTTTTGTCGTTCCCACTAGCCATTGTGGGGGGGGGGGGGGGGGCGGATTCCCACTGCCCACTTTCACAGGGGTTCGACCGCTTACACCAATCAAAGAGCCCCTTTTTGGCATTATTGTACGTCATTCTTTTTGGAGGGCAAATCGCGCACCAAATAAACTCTACTTTTTGGGTCAATTGTAGGACGCCCAAAAAAGTGTACAAATATATGACTTTCAAAAAAGGTCATAGAATATTTGCAAAGAAAGTTTGCTCGGGGCCGGCTTAGCTTCCCCTCGGACAACATTTGACAGCGTCTGCTCTACCCTCTCATCTGAAAACAAATCAATGCCCTAGACTTGATCATCATCAAGATTTCTCGTATCGGGGCAAAGCTTTTAATCTACTGACTGCACCCTTAAGTATCTGAGTAGTTTTTTTTCAGTCCATAAACTTATGGATAAACTTTGAATTTTTTTAGATAATCGTTTTTTCCCTTAAATCTCCCCCAAAACCCCTCACAAATGGCCAAAATTTTCTGTTTTATTTTACAAAACTTGGATGATTAGAAAAGTGTTTTTGAATTTTTCACCATGTGGTTTCGATTTATCCAGATACAACCAGTCGTTTATATTTTTTGGGGATCATTATTTGTAGCTTTATTTTAGCAAATTGCTTCAAATACTAAAAAAATAAGGGTGCTTCAAATTGCTTCATATACATTTTTAGATAAGGTTCGAGAATTTTTCATTACACAAGTTTCGAGAATTTTTAAATTTTAGAACTTTTACTTTTTTTAGATTTTTCATTACCAGAAGTTTCGAGAATTTTTAAATTTTAGAACTTCTTACTTTTTTTTTAGATTTTTTTGTAATCTAATCCATTTTTCTTTTAGTACATGAGAAGCAAATTTTTTGGAGTCGACTTTAAAATTTTTTATAAAAAAATCAAATTACTGTTTTAATTTCACAAATAGCGTTCGTTTCAACGTTTTTTTAGGGAAAAAATCCGAAACTAAAATTATAATTATTTTAAAATATAGAGGTTTGGCAATCTACTGGTAAACTTAAGCGCAAGCTACCTTCTACGATTTTGATTTACAATATCATAAAAACCAACCTCACGTCTGATTTGATGTTTGTTTTATCAAATGAAGCGAACTTTATCAAATTAACAGAATTAACAGACAAATAATTGGGGAATCAAAGTGTGCTATCTCCTCAGAAAATATGATCATGCATGAGATCTACTTCTCAAGTCTAAAGTCTTACCGGTCGAATTTTTCATTACCCAGCATATCTTGACTAGAATGTTGGATGTTGTGAAAAATATTAAGAAAAATGAAATTTGTAGGCAGTTCATCTATAACAGAGTACCTGTGAAACTAAACAAACGCACAAAACAAATAAAGCAAAACAGATTCCTAAAAGCTGAGAAAAGTTAGAGCAAAACAAAATTCCATTTTGAAACTAAAAGGTTTTCAATAGAGATACACGAAAAAAATCCTATTGACAGATCCATTAGTTCTTAGTATTGTCTTATTCATTTTCATTTATACAAACTGTATTTGTGTATTTACACGGCTGTGTACTTGTTGATTTTTATCTTATTATGCTAATTCCATTTTGTAGCAGCATGTATGTTAACCAAGCTGTTATTTCCTTATTACATGTTTGTGAAAAAAACCTAGGAAATCAAAAAGTGAACAAAAACGAAATTAAAGCTTAGACTCATCAGACTCATTTGTTCACGCTCTTTTGGTAAATTTTGCGCAAGAACTATTGAGCTAAGTTTTGCTTATGTATAACTGAGTGGTAGTTTTTTTTGTCTGTTAACGAATTTTGAGTAAACACTTTTATACTTGATAGCAAAACTTTAGTTTTTACCCTTACAAAATTAGTGTAATTAACAAATTGTATCGAAATTTTTTTTCAAGATTACGAGGCCAAGTTTTGCACTGGATAGTTGCACAATGGGTGTCTGTAGGTCACTGGAATCCATAGACAAATCTTTAAATTTGTTCCGAAATGTAGAGGAATTCCACATACAAAATATTAGAGGATTCCGCGCCTAATATCGAATTCGAGCCATACAGTGTCTTAGCTATTTGTTTTCGAATCCGATACAGCAAAAAATGAACACTAGCAATTTTGCGGATTTCGAAACTAATCTGTTTTCCGCCTGTTGCGGAATACACAGTTTGGCCTCGTGGTGATTTTTTTTAAATTTGTTTTTGGAACAAAGTTTTCATTGAAAATTAATTCGTACTGATACTATTAATAGAAAAAGTTGACCCGTTGATCAAAACCGGGAAATATGAACAATTTTTTTAGGATGCAATTTTTATTGCTTCACGCAGTTTTGCTTCACGAAATACTTCATTATATCTCTGATAATATCATCTATCATCGTAGCATCCATCATCTTCTTTAACTTCTGCAAAAAAAAACATTTTGAGAAAAAATAACGTTTCATTTTAAGGTAGTTAATTTCGTTCGTATAGTTTAAGTTTAAATCAATTTTGTACATCCTCAAAGAGGTATGCTTGAGCCATTTTACTTATTTTGGACTCAATTTATCATTAAGAATACGCACAACGATTTAATCATTTTTTTGAAAAGCCTATATCCAAGATAATATCTAAATTAATAAATCATGTGTGGTATAACGTATAAGCTTTGTGTAGTTGTTTTATTGTTCTGCCTGCTTGGCAAAATAAAATTTTTTAAAATATAAAATGATATAAATAATGAAATTTTTGGTGTAGTAATGGTATAAGTAATAAAGCAATTCTATCTATAATCTTTCCGCGGAACTTGAGAGACTGCACCTTGTATAAATTCAGGACGGGCCCTTTTTTAGTAAAGCGTTGGCTCAAAATTTTGGCGCCTAATTTTCTAGTCTGGTAAAAGTCTTTACTACCTTTTACTACATCTTTTGTTAACATCAACCCAAAATGAGAAAAATTATTTTAAGTTTTATTTGTTTTGTCGGGAATATTAAGCATTTCAATAACATTCCATGAACGATTTGGACCAAAAATTTGAAATTTTGATGTGTCAACTTTTAAGGGCACGCGGAATTTTTCTAAAGATTTTTTAGTGAATTTTTATGATATTTTTAGGGCATGTAAGATATTTGGAAAATTTTTTTGTGATAATTTCATTTAATGCTAATTGGAAAATATTTGATTTGAGAGACGTAAGCTGCAACCCTTTAAATGGTCCCAGTAAAATTTGTCTTCCTGGATTTCAGAGCGCGGTTGGAACTGTCAAAATTCTGGGAATGAGTTTTGTTTGAGAGAGGAGATGAAACACTGCGTGGATGTGTTGGGAGGATTCAGGTGCGAACATTGTGTGAAGGGATCACAGATTGATCCAGATGATCACAGTCTCTGCCAAGGTTGGTTATCTCCATATTCTAATTGTAATATTTAGGGCTGATTTAAAATAACCGGACACAAGGATCAGTATTCGAAGTTTCAAACGCGTTTTTATCAATTTGGGTTAAGATTAGACAAAAAGGAAAGAGAACAAAAGATACTTGGATTTTTACCAGAATTAATATGGTGCAATTTTTTCCCAAAAACTGCAACCAAAGTGCTATCTCAAAAATGAGACGTTTTGGTTTTTGTATTTAATCAAAAATTACGCTAAAACTATCTAGAAATTTATGAGAAAGTTATTTCTTTTACACAGTCCAACTAGAAGGGGAAAATCTTCCAAAAGTTTGCGTGAAACGTTCGAATTTTGTTTTTAGCAAATATTTTGACTTTTATAAAGTAAAAAGTTGTTTTTTGACTATGAACCAAAAAATATATTTCTTTTAAGCAAATTTTTTAGAAATTTCATATTTCCAGAACTTTGTTGGGATATGTAGGAGGTTTTTTTAAATCTAATTTTCTCAGTAATTAATTTGGTAGATTCAGCGTAAATTTTGATAAATTACAAAAAGCACTTTTTGTTCTATTCGTTACTTGTCATATCTTTTGAGAAAAACGCGTTTGAAAGTTCAAACTTTGTGTATCCGGTTAATTTAATTCAGTACTGTAATAATCATAATGAAAATAATCATGAAACTGTTCGTATCGGGACAAAGCCCTGAATGTTGCGAATATCTTCTAAGGTCTATGAAACAGTTTGTTTTCTGTTAATTGATGAACTTTTCAAAAACAATTTTTCCAGCGCCGTCCGTCCGTATTAAGTACAAAGTGAAATTTTTGCTCCTAAAACCATAACAAATGTGACAACTAGCCTACTTCAACCAATTGCAAACGATTTCTAATACGGACTAAAACTCCGCTTGCGCATCAATAGCACGAAAAATATAGCGCAATAATTGTACCAAATCGACCATATTAGCAATCTGTAAACCTCCATGATTTTACAAAAAAAGTCACAGATTATATAGCTTTGTAATTTTGAGTTCAAGACAACAATAATTTTTGATTGATTTAGACAACTCTGTCAAAAACTGCTAGTTCAGGAGTCGAAATTTGTCTGGAGAAAAACCAACCCGAGCTCAAATATTCCGTAATTTTCTTCGAAGTTAGTCGGAACAACAATACTGCTCTTCTGTCATGACGAGGCCCTGAATGTTCTGACTGCACGTTGAGGCGAATAATTTTTTCTGGTTGAACAATTCACAAATAATTGGTTGAGTTTTTTGTGTAGTTTTTCATTTTAAGCAAATGGTGAGCTTAGCTTTCCTTATTGTTTCAAAAGGGTTAACTCCTGACCTGAACTCAATTGGAAACGCATCAAACTGCCACCTATACGTGTCTTGAATTCGGAACGCATCGAATCGCCGCCTACAGGTGTTATAAATACACGTTAGTTAATCAAAATTGACTAAATTAGCAATATTCAAACCCCAATCAAAGTGAAATTTATAATCACAATGATTATAATATACTGGGCAACAGTGATTGCCCTTTACTTAACTAGACATAACAAAAGATGCGAACTTAAAGCTGAAATCTTGGACAAACCATGAAATAGTTAGTGCAACTTTAGTAAGAAAAAAGCCTCGTTTTATAACAATCTTTCTTTAGGGTAATTTTTTCATAAAATTCGTTTTAATTGCAAAACATTGGCCCTGGCGGTGGGGCTCCTATGTAAACCGTACGAAACTTAATCCAATTCTAACACCATCAAAAAAAAAGAAAAACTGATATTTTTCCGTGATTTATAACAGTTTTGAACAGATTGAAAAATAACGGAATGTTTTATTTACGATATAATGAAATTCTGTCAACAATGATATTCAGAACAAAATGTTTGAAGTTTAACAACGGGCTGAACTAATTGCTCACTTTTCTCCTAACGGGGGCAAATATTTAATGTAAAGCCAATTCAAGTCACAAGCTACAATAACACATGGGCATGTGCTACACAAACCGAGTACAAATCCTAAAGCTGGTAGCTTACAGCCCCATGTTGATTTAAAGCAGAAAAATAGCGGAAAGTTTTATTTACGATAAAATGAATTTCTGTCAAAAATGATATTTATAGTAAAATATAAGAACTAATTTCACAACGGGCTGAGCTATTTGGTCACTTTTTTGCTAATGGGGCAAATATTTAATGAAAAGCCAATTCAAGTCACAAGCTATAATAACACATCAGCATTTGTTACAAAAACCTGAAATCCAAAATTTGGAGGTCCAAATCCTAATGATCGTCGATTAAAACCCCGGGTTGATTTGAAATGCAAATAACTCTGATTATTTCATTCTGATAAAAAAGCGTACTTAGTTTTACCCGAAACCATAAACTATAACGTAGGAATTGGGATAATCAAGTTGATTGAAATTTGAAGCTGACGTGAAGTCCGTTAGAGCACGGTCGAAACAAATCTTGATTCGGGCGAGTACATTTTTTGTTTGTTCGAGCAGAGTCGAAACATGTCTTGCTTGGGTCGAGCACTATATTGGCACAAATATTCAAGTTGCCAATAAATTTGCGAAACTGGTCTAGGAACATCAATTATAATTTTTTGAGATATATATGCTTTTCAAAACTCTAAACTCAGTGAAATTTAAATCATTCGCAAACTTGCCATAATATAGTTTTGTAGTGTTTGAAGAACTTTAGTTTAGTCATAACGCTATTTTGAGCAATAGAACAGTTTTTCGCCAAAATTCATTCACAAGTCAGTTTCAAAACAGAATCTAACAAAAATCTGGTTTCAGTCCCAACTACTAGAACGAAGTAGAAAAAGTCGTTTTTTTAGCTGACAGTGCAGCCTATACCAATTGTGTTCCCAATCACAAAAACGCTCATCGGGTTTATCTCAGGAAAATGTTCAGTCAAATTTAGCTCAACAAATTCTCGACTATCAAATATCAATCCTCGTTCACGCCAAAAACTTAAATATCAAACTGATGTCAATCAAACTCGATTCTTGATGGAAAAATTGAAGAAGCCATTGTAAGATCCAATTTTGAAGCTACAGGGATTTTTGAGCCTTCTTCGTCTAGACGCAGGAAACTTGTCGCTGTTTTCAAACTTGCACCGAAATTATCATACAAAATATCTTTTTTCGCACTTGGTTTTAAAAGAATTCGCTGCTCTTAAGCAATAAAAAACCCCATGTTTGGTACCAACTACCAACTATGGCTTAAAGATGAAATCATCACCCGGTTTTTTTTTTAAAAAAAACTAGAACTTAAAGCTTTTTGAATCTAAAAAGCACATATGTTGCTATGACCACCCTCGAAGAAACTGCGGGAAATAAATATGCCGTCAATGGGGATTTCTGCGCTGTTTTAAGTATCTCAGATATATTCGCATAGGTTCAATGGTGGTATCATATTTGGGGGTGAATTTAGGATTTCCTTGAGGGGAGAGGACGGTAAGGGAGATTTTTAAAAAAAATTCGAATAATTTTTTTTGGTCGACCAAATTGATTTTCTGGGCTTTTCCATGGCACAAAAAAGACTCTATACTGGCCTAACTTTCTAAGTCGCAGGCAGATTTTTAAAAAATGGGACAAAAATGGCGATTTGTTGCACTTTTTGTAGTTTTCATCGAAAAAAAAATTTTTCTGCGCGCGCTCCCCTCAGTTTTAGTATGTATTGGTGCCAAAGCCGCCTGTAGAAAAGATTTAGGGTCATATCAAAAGTTCCAATTGTAATTCTGATTCCTAAAAATTTCTCTCAGAGTCAAGAAAAACTTGTCTGATTGTTTCTGCTTTCAAAGTAACTTGAAACCGAGTTATTTTGCTAATTGGCTCTTATTTATTTCAGATAAGTTTTACTTTTCAATATAATTTTACTGTAGTTTGATCATTACTTGAGCGTTATTTTATTCAATATGACAAAATTTCTGACAAAAAAGCATCTGGGATTTAGAAAAAGATAACTGTGACATTTTTTTGCATCACAAATAGTAGTTGTAAAATTTTTAGCAACGAGGTTCCCTACTTTATTCTTCAGTGTTTCAATTTTAAATTTGAAGTTCTCCAAAAACGCACCCTAACAAAATGGGGCACATTTGTCAAGTTATTTTTCACTCCACAGTGCAGAACTCCACTACTATATAAGCAAACAGATAGTCGACTTTGGCGAAGATGTAGCAATAAAAGAAACCCTAAAAGTTTTTTCTCGGAAACCTTCAAAAAAATCGAGGGCCATTTTGCGCAAAAACCACAAGTGTTGTTTCAATATTCTGAATCTTTTGAGATCAATTAAACCTAATTGTTCTGACTTTCGATACGAAAGTAACGGAATATTTGTGCATGGGGTGGGTTTTTTTTTCAGACAAATTTCGACTTTTTAACAGGCCACATTTATTGGAATTTTTTTTATCATTCGAAAGGTATTATTGTCATGAGCTCAAATTTGGAAAAATATTTCACCTGTGATCATTTTTCGTAAAGATATGGGGGTTTAAGGATTGCCATTTCGGCCAATTTGGGACGATATATTTCGCGCTATTAACGCGTAAGCGAGATTTAATCCGTCTTAGAAATTGTTCCAAATTGGTTGAAAGAAACTTATTTGCCATAATTGACTTGTTACAAGCAGCGAAATCTATCCTTTTATACTTTATATGGCGTGTGGGGGATGATTTTCAAAACAAATTTTAAATTTTAGAAAAAAAATTCATTTTATTTTATTACTTTATTTTTTTAATGTTGGTACTGCTCCATAAACCTTTTAAGGCAGTCGGAACATTCAAGGCTTTGCCCTCATACGAGCAGTTTTGTTCTGTATTTCTCGCCAAAACGATCAATACTAATGTTTATTCATTGATCTTTGAAGAAGCAAATCAAACCATTAGTAACAAGCGTCACTTCGCGAACACAAGCAACAAGAAAAACAAAAGCAGAACTCTAAAATGCAAGAAAAAGAAAACAATTCTAAAAAATTCAACTGCAAAACTGAACAGCCTAAGAGACCAATAGATTCGATCCCCATACGTCCAGACCACAAATTAGTTTCCTAAAACTTTTGCGCACTGTTGCGTGGATAATTATTTGGATGAATGCAACGTATATAAAAAGAGGATAAAGCTTATTTTCTTAAGCTCGCCAACAAGAAACTGTACCGCACAAAAGATGAATGTATAAAGTTTTGACCTTTGAAATTTGGTATTCCTGCCTAATCAAGCTTCATCTGTTCGTTTCATTCAAAACGTAAAATCATAGCCTGAAAAGCAGATTTAAAACTTTGTTAGGAAAAAAGTTCACCATTCAATTGGACTCAAAATCTTTTTGCTCTTAGAAATAGTTGATACAATTAAGCCAGTGAATCAATCACTTCCTCGAAATCTTAGTTGGCAGTTGAAATTATCGGAACGGGTTAATATGATTTTGTGTTAGTTTGTAATTGCTATTCAGATTAAAATATATCAATTAAACAACCGGTTGATGTTGTTTTTCTTGTTTTGAAGTGACGTCATTAGTGATTGATAACTAATTCAGAAAGTTATTTGAGAAGACTAATCTTTGATTCAGAAAATCAAATGGGTTTAGTCCGTTTTCTTGGTCTGACTTAAGAAGAAAATGAGGAACATTTATGCTCGGGTCATTTTTATGCAGAATAATTTCAGAAAACTCTTTGCACCCTCGGGGTGTTGATCCCTTGATGCGCATAGGCCTAGCACGCGATGCTGTCTGAGATACTCCTTTTGTTTTTTAATCGTGGCGAACTATCTTGCTATACAAAATCGGTGCAAATTGAATTTAGGCATTAAGCTAATTGGTATTAAATCTATACACGACTCAGCTTAAATAATATCAGCCTAATAAATTGTAGTGTTGCCAACATTTAATCTACCAAAAATTATTCGAGACCAAATAAAAGGGCATTCGGAGCGTTTGAAGCTTTGCCCTAAAACGAGCAGTCTTGTTATTCCGACTTTCGATACGAAAGTAACGGAATATTTGTGCTCGGGGTGGGTTTTTTTTTTCTTCAGACAAATTTCGACTTTTTAACTAGCAACTTTTGACGGATTTTTTTCTAAATCATTCAAAAAGTATTTTTGTCCTGAGCTTAAATTTGAAAAGATATTTCACCTGTGATCATTTTACGTAAAGTTATGAGGGTTTAAAGATTGTCATTCTGGCCATTTTGACCAATTTGGGACAATTAACGCGCGATATAATTCGAGCTATTAACGCGTAAGCGGAGATTTAATCCTTCTTATAAATCGTTCCAAATTGGTTGAACGAAGCTGATTTGCCATAATAGATTTGTTACAAGGAACGAAATCTATGTTTTTGTACTTTAAATGGCGTGTGGGGGGATGATTTTCATAAAAAATTTCAAATTTTAGAAAAAAAAAATTTCATTTTATTTCATTTAATTTTTTATGTTATTACTGCTGCTTCATAAACCTTAAAAGGCAGTCGGAACATTCGGGGCTTTGCCTTGATACGAGCAGTCTTTTTTGTTTTAGTGCTCTCTGGGATTCGAAAGTCTCCATTGCCTTTTCATTCAGCTGATTCACTGGAGGCTGTAAAAACGATTTTTTTAAAATTCATGACTGTATCAAGATTTTTTTAAATCAAAGATGGTCGTTTCACAAGCATTCAGCACTAAATGATCCCATCGCACTGATGTGAGAAAAAAACTTGAAAACAAAATGTTTTTTTTTCCGTAATTTCTTTTTGAAAAAATTCAGAATTTTTTTGGCAGTACGATTAAATTAGGCATTAAAAAAGAATAGTGATAGTGGTTAAGATAAAAATTAAATTAGTAGAATCAAATTCTAAGAGAAAAAATTTTGCAGGTCAACTCATGTTCAGTTTTAGTCTGACAACCGAACATATTGGGATTCCAGCAGAAGGAGCCAATCAGAGCAAAAAAGGCAAACAATTAAAGCACACTCTACCGATTATTAGGTTTTTCAGGACCCTACGCCATAATTTTGTGCGTCACCTAAGTAACATGATTGGAACAAAAAAATTCTGCTACCCTAAACAACTTTTTTTAATTTCCATTGGAAAAATGGTTCTCCGTTAGACTTGTATTGCACTATTGAGCTTCGGAGCAATTTTGTTTTCATCTAAGCTAGGCTGGCCTAAGTGTATATAAACATTCGATGCAAATTCAAAAATAAACTTTTGAGCTGTTGTACACCCTTTCTTCGGATTTTCTATCAATTTCATTTTCATTCTCATTTTGATTTTATCTTCAATCAATGCAGGGGCGAAATTGGGGGGGGGGGGGGGGGGGGGGGGGGGGCAGGGGGCGGACGCTCTTTTCCTTAGAGTATCGACACACTGCCGACCAAAAGTGTCCTCTCTTTGTACTATTTTGAGATATCCATTTTTGATAACGGACACTAAAATTTTTCTAGAGGGGCCTTTTAGTATACTTATACTTAGACTAATACTGCTTTGTTTGGCCTGTTTTTTTTAATTTGCCTGCGGCGCAGAAAGTTTGGCCAAAACATGGTCTTTTTAGAGCGTTAGGAGAGCTCGGAAAATATTTGATCGACAATTTTTTTGAAAATACTCCACCCTCGAGAAAATTGTAGATCCGCCCCTGAATCAATGACACGTATGTGTTTTTTTAATGGTCGACACTTCAGATCAAGTATAAAAGTTTTCAAAATTGAAATGTGATCTTTTTACTTACGCAATATATATCATGCACAGTATACGTATACATCCTTTTTCGAAATTTGACTGATTTTTTTCTGAAAATATCTTTTCGAAGTCTGAGTGAATATTTTTTTATTGGACTCCGAGAGGAACATCTTTTGGTAAAATTTATGTTGTTGGAGTAATCTGATTATTTCAGTCACCAATTGTTTGTTAATGGGAGTGGGTGGTAATTCAGTGACGTAATTAGAAGGAAAAAAATTTCAAGACAAAATAGTTTACAATTCGATTGTAAATCTCTTCCTAACAAATTTTTAATCGGTTTACTTGCTTATTTTCGGCGAAATTTGAATTTCAAAGTGCAAGCTGGAATATCAAAGTTCAAAAGTCTAAATTTTTTGTGCTCAGTTTTTATAGAGCATAGAGCAGATGTGAAAAACGTTACTTGGGTGGGAGTGAACAAGAGGTTGATGCAACTCAATCGTGGTCGGGAGGCATGCGGATCGAATCCAGCTGTCTCCAACGCTGTTCATTTTTTAGTTGAACTCTTTGATATGTTTTTTTCTTTTGCATTTCAGGGGCTTAGGCAATTATTTTTACTTGTGTTTGCGAAGTGCAGCTTGGCGTCTGCGTAACTTTTGAATTTTAGATGACTGTCAGGTTTTTTTTTTCAGGTATTCATCAGGTCTGGTGCTGACTTTTTGCTTCTGTGATTAATATTTTTGTTTGCTACTTCAACAATTTTTGAATAAAAACTAGCATTGATCAATTGGGCAGCAAAATGCAGAATTGAGTTAACTTAGTCCAGCAGATTAGAATATCGAAAGAATACTATATTTGTGCGTAAACTGAAAACTGACTCTTAATTTAGTTAAAAGGAAGAAACTTTATCATACTCAAAAGACAAGACTAAAAACTGATATTTTGCTCAAACAACCTTTAAATGCGCTGGTTATAATAATAAAGAAAACAATAATAAGGTTTTCAACTTTTTCTTTTCATATTTTAATGATTGAGTTTTAAAAAACATTTGAGCTAACATGTTTTCAGCCTTGTAAATAGTCATTTAACTCACATTTAGATATTGATGAATGTAATCTGGGTTTCTGTGGGGAGCACAATACCAGTTGCACGAATTTCGACCTAGCCTACTCCTGCGAATGTGTGGAAGGTTTCAACCACGATGCCGGAACGTATGGAACGGAATGCGAAGGTATACATGTTCCAGTATCAAAAAACGGTGGCGTTATTTTAAAATTAGAATCTCGTAGAGCTAAAAAGATCTCATAGGATCGGATCAAATAAACAAATTTGAAAAACAACAATAATATTTGTTATTCGAGAAATTTTCCGACCGTTTGTGTCTTGATGCTGACAATTGATATGAAGTTGCATCGGATCTATTTAACAATCTCCCCCCCCCCTTTCTTGAAAGGGGGGAGATTCTTTAGTAGGTACAATAGGGGGGGGGATTGTTCAGTAGATCCGTTGCATCATTTGATTTCAATTTTAATCCGATTTTAACCGACCTTAATCGATTAATTTTGAATGATATAGAGACTGACAACGAAACTCCAATATAACAGATTATTATCCATAAACTTCAAACAGGACATAACCAAACAATGAATGAAATATAATTGTTCCGACTTTCGGCACGAAAGTAACGGAATATTTGTGCTCGGGGTGGGTTTTTTTTTTCTTCAGACAAATTTCGACTTTTTAACTAGCCATTTTTGACGGAATTTTTTTATATCATTCGAAAGGTATTGTTGTCCTGAGCTCCAATTTGAAAAGATATTTCACCTGTGATCATTTTTCGTAAAGTTACGGGGGTTTAAAGGTTGCCATTTTGGCCAATTTGGGACAATTAACGCGCGATATATTTCGCGCTTTTAACGCTTAAGCGGAGAGTTAATCCGTCTTAGAAATCGTTCCAAATTGGTTGAAAGAAGCCTATTTGTCATAATTGGTTTGCTACAAGGAGTGAATTAGATTCTTTGTACTGTATATGGCGTATGGGGGATGAATATCATAAATAATTTTAGAAATTTTTTTTTTCTTCATTTTTTTAAAATTTCATTTAATTTTTTAATTTTATTACTGCTCCATAAACCTTAAAAGGCAGTCGGAACATTCAGGGCCTCGCCCTGATACGAGCAGTCTTGTTTTTTTTTTGCAACTAAATGGAAAACAAAACAAAACTGCTCGTATCAGGGCGAAGCCCCGAATGTTCCGACTGCCTTTTAAGGTTTTATGGAGCAGTAATAACATTAAAAAATTAAATGTAATAAAACAAAAAAAAATTTAAGTTTGAATTTTTTTAAGAAAATCATCCCCCCACACGCCATTTAAAGTACAAAAAGATAGATTTCGCTCCTTGTAACAAACCAATTATGGCAAATAACCTTCTTTCAACCAATTTGGAACGATTTTAAGACGGATTAACTCTCCGCTTACGCGTTAATAGCGCGAAATATATCGCGCGTTAATTGTCCCAAATTGGCTAAAATGGCAATGTTTAAACCCCCGTAACTTTACAAAAAGTGATCACATGTAAAATATTTTTTGAAATTTGAGCTCAAGACAACAATACCTTTCGAATGATATTAAAAAATTCCGTTACAAATATTCCGTTACTTTCGTATCGAAAGTCGGAACAAAAATGTTGATGAATTTTATAATGATGAAATCGCAAGCGTCACTGCTAAAATAACAAGGCTTGAAAATAAATGTTTTAATGCCTGCCTGCAACGGAGGTATAATTGCATTGCGGTTTTGTGATCAGTCGTCTATCTGTCGATCTAAAATTGATAGATAATAAATTAGATTGATTCAAAACGGCAATTAATGCCATTTTGTGAAAGCATCAAAATCTGTTTTTATTGAATATATTCATTTATAAACTCAATTAAAAAATTTGTTTGCTCGATCTTGATGAATCTCAACTTAATTTTTTTTCACATGCCTTTGAGTTCAAAATCAGTTGTTTGAACCAAATTCTCTAGTTTTTCCGAGCCATTTCTTAAGGAAAAAAGAAAATTTTTTGAAATATTTTCTATTCTTCAGATTTTAAAAAACCCCCTGATAACCGACTATAAAAAAATTTTCTCTTTAAAATAACTTTAGTTTTTGAGATTTTTCTCTTTTTTTGAACTTTTTTTTAACTTATCAAATTTATTTATCAAGCGCGAAGATGCGTTAGTAAGTGGAGAAGTGGAAAGGAAGTGTAAAAAAGAATATCAGGGTCAAAAATGAAGCTTTTAATTCAAACAAAAGTGCTACCCCGAAACAAAAAAAACCCAGAAACAAAAAAAACCCACCCCGAGCACAAATATTCCGGCACTTTCGTATTTTTGATTTTGTCAGTTTTTTAAGGGGTATCTTAAGTTAGTTGATGCCATGACTTCCAAGCTCGGCTTCTGATTGATCAGTTCGGAAACTGGTGAGAGATTCACGACTTGAGCTTGTTCATTTGGTGAGGTCATGCTCTCACTGGTGGCTGGCAAGTTGCAAAAAAAAAACAGTTTTGAAAGACAAAATTGGAAAAAAAACAGCCAAACTCGATGGTATACAAAAAAGTTTTTTTTTAAAACTACAATATTTTGTGCAAAATCAATGGAGAGAAAGTTTCCGGTAATACGGAAATGTCAACTGATAAACAGAAAAAAAACGAAAAAGTAACTTTCGACGAAAGGTAAAAGTTTTTCAAATTGCTTCAGAAATAAAAAAAAAGCTAACATTCGATAAACACGTTTATTCAACATACATCTAATTGTTTAAATAGAAAGGAACTTCTTAGTGTTTTTATTGGGTACTAAAGCCCATTTGATCTTTGTTGTAAGAATAATTAAATGTTCTGACCCAATATTCATTTACAATGTTTAAATAAACCAAAGATTTTGTCATTGCAAAAAGAAGGAAAAGTTTCTGAGCCACTGGTTTATTGCCCTTTTTCAGCTACACAAAAGATGTGAAAACTCGTTTAAAATAGATTTTTAATTTGTTTGCATACAAAATGCTTACGCGCAACTCATTATTCAGTAGTTTTTGGCATACGAATTTTCAAACAAACCAGAAATCGATTTCATAAAACCAAAATTGAAACCAATAATCATTGTCTTCTTTAAAATCCGTAAAAACTAATCAAAACTATTCCTGGCAAAAAACTTGACATTGGAAACCCGATTTCAGAAAAATTTCAGTAAAGAAAGTTTAATTCATCTTCTAGAAGTTTTCGCAAATGTAAAAGAAGTAAACAAATTACTGGAATCCTGAGAGGTTGAGAATTAGTTTGATGATTAAACATTGTTTTCACTTCAAGTAGATAAAAAACTGTATACAATTTTCCGCGCTCAGAGATACTTGAAAACAAAATTATAGATCCTTTTTTTATCCAATTTTATCATTTGTTTTATAACTTCTTAAATTTTGTTGAACCTAGTTCACCGTTTTTTATAAACCCACCCACGTATCCGGCCTTCACTTTTTAGCCCCACCAAATTCACAGCCCGCACCCTTCTTACTCTTCAACCCATTGTTTTTCATAGTTTGATTTGATGTTTCTTTCGCTAAAAGTGTTGGGTTAGAAAAACTGTTTTTATAAATGAACATCAATCAAATCTATTTAAATGTGAGTAGGTTTAAATATTGCGCAGGTCTTGCGTAATGAAGGAATTACTGCTTGTTTTGCAAACGCAAAACAAAACTATGCATATTATAATCCATTATAATCCTATACAATCCATTAAAAAGGATTGCAAATGAAATATAACCCGATCAATTTTTTGAAAACAAAAATGATTTTATCGGATCGAAAATTCATTTCAATTTACCATGTTTGTTTAATTTCGTTTCTAAGGAACTTTTTGGCTATGTAAGCAAATTTTCTCATGAAATTTTTTTGTATCAAATAAAATGCAGTGCTGGTTTAAGATATCCGAACAACATGAGCAAAAAGGAACGTTAAACGCATTTTTCTCAAACTTGGTTTGGATAAAACAAAAGCAAAGTGAACTAAATTTGGTTCTGCAAGTTGGGGGCAAAACTTTTGCATAACTGGGCAAAACTGGGGTCATTTGGCTTCTCTTAGTCAACTATACAACTATACATGCCCTTGATCTAAGGATTCAATTGATGAGCCAGTTTGTACCAAAGTGAGCTTCTTATAACAATCCAGTTAGGTATAACCTCCAAAAATTTACGTAAAACGTCTAGAATTTGCTTTCAAGTAAATAATTTATAGTTCGGTTTTGCTGAATTTTTTCTAAAACGTTTCATTTAAATGAGGTGGAACAAAATTTATCCACATCTGTGGTGTGCACAGGAAGTTTTGATGGAAAAAAGAGGTAATTTGTTGACCTTTTATTAGGCCAACGAAATTGTTTTTGCATGATCTCTTTAGAACTTTTTAGGGTTATTAACCAGAGTTTACTAGTGGGGAAAAACTGAACCCCAGTCAGACCCTTCTTTGATATGTAACCATTCTGCTTATTTTAATTGCAAAGTGATAAAAAGTATTTCCCCTAAGTTGCAACTTACAATTTTTGCAGCCTCGCTGTTGTTTGGATTTTGATTCTTCAGATGAGAATACGCCAACATTTACTATATTGTTCGAAATATGAGTGCCTGACCTCAACTAAGCCAACTAACGTCAACTTAACAAACAAGACTGCTCGTATCAG